TGTTTATATGATATAGGATGTATGTATAGTTTTTCGCTTTTTTGACCCTCTCGCAGTCTTGCACTCACCAGCTGGACTATTTCAGGACATCTTCAATCACTGCTGTTCTCCAGAGAGACACAGAGCCATACTGTTGATCTGACAAGTCCTTGATTTTATTTTTACTTACTAACTTGGGACAATAAAAGGAATAGTCTGCAGATAAGGATGGGGTAGGGCTGTTTGATTATGGCAAAAATCATAATCACAATTATTTTGCTCAATATTGACATCACAATTATTTAACATGATTACTCACAGATTTTTGGAAACATCTGGCATTTATTGATTTATTGCATTTTTTTTTTTTGAGTGGCTTTCCACGAACTTCAATTATAATACATGAGAAACAAAATAAATGTACAAATAATAAAAATAAAATAAAAAAATATAATAATAAAAATTCTATTTTTTTTCATAAACATGAGAAGCTAAAATAAATAAAAAAATCAATAAAAAAAACAAACAAAACGTATACATACATATTACATTTATATTTCACAATTTATTTTATACAAATACCATATTTTTGTTTACCAAATGAAAAGGTGGTGAAAAAAAGAAAAGAAAGTAACAAAAATCCCTTACCTTTTGTTCTATGCTGTCAGGATTTTCCTGGTTCTCACTTTCAAGTGTCGATTCCTGACATTTATCCCTTTGCTCCTCCAACTGATCCTCTTGATCTCCTTCATTCTCAGTGTTTTCAGTCTGTTCTTGTGACTCTGTAAAATGTTCTTCACTGATAACCTCTGTTTCTCCTTCTAAAGGCCTGGGATCAGCTTCTTCAGCTTCAGAAGGCAAAATATCTTCCTTTGGTTCAGTATCATGGGTTAAATCATTCTCCTCATCTTCAGTTTTTACCATATTTTGCTGAGGCATGTTCAGAATGTCCAGATCCATCTCTTCAGCATCACTGTCAAGATCACTCCCTTCATTTACGTTCTCTGTGTTTAGATCTTTCTCAGAAGCATCCACTGCATCAGTATTTAAAATCTCATTGCCTATCATGTCCTCTGTGACTTCAGTTTCACTGTCGTTAACTAGCTTTGGGGTTTCCTCCTTCACTGCATCCATAATTTTAGAGGTGTTCTGTTCATCAGTGCTGTTCTCAGCTTCATGCTCACTTGTATGAGTAGAACAGTGATGGTGCACTTCATCTAGAACATCTATGACTTCACTTTTACTGTCATATGTCTCATCACTGTAGTCAATGTATGTGTCTTTCATTTCCATTAATGATCTACTATTGATATCAGATGTGGAATTGGCTGCATCTTCTACAAAGTCATTGGTGCTGCTGTAGTCATGATTAGTCTCTTCCTGGTTTTCATTGTCTGGTAAGTCATCCTTTTCTTCAGTATGTTCCTCTGATTCCTGCTCTACTTCAACTGCGTTTTCAGTAGTACTTTCAGTTGATTCCTCCACATAAATCTGCTCAGCGCTCTTCTCTTCTGGATCAGTGTCTTCTAATAAATTATCAGCCATTTCTAAAACTCCCTGTTCAGCATCTTCAGTATGGCCATCATCATCATCAGACATTTCATTTGCTTGCTTGCCTACATCCTGCTCAATATGTGAAGGGGTTTCAACAAAAGATTCATCATGTGTTTCAAACTCTCCTTCATTCAATTTTGGGCTTTCCAAGTCTCTGTTGTTCTCAGTAGGTTCAGACGGGTGGTTTATCTCTTCAGCAGATACATCCACATTTGCGAGACCACCAAAGGAAGGCAAAGGTGTAGGCTCAAGTTCTGATCTGCAGATATTAATATCTACAGCTTCTTTTACAACCTCATCATCCTTCAGTACCTCTGATGTTTGCTCTGGAATCCTGCTGGGGTCTTTTAGCTCTTGAGCACATATATCAACATCTGCTGTACTCACATAGGGACTATCCGCATCAGGTCCATGTTCCGTCTCACCGGATTCCTCATCGAGCTTCTTATCTAACTCATATTTTTGCTTTACTTCAGTGTCCTCTGAATTATTAGTGTTGAGGTCTTTTAATGGGGAGCTTAGGGTTTCATTGTCTCCAAAAGTTTCAGAACGGCCAGCGTTGTTTCTGAAAATTGACATGTAAGAAAGCAAGGATCATTTTATATATGCAACAGTGATTGATAATGTAAGTAAATAAAAGCACAAACAACTACAACAGGAGTAATAAATGAATCCTAATGTACAACCCAGATGGATATCTATGCTCTGACACTACAATCAATCCTCTGAAAGCCGCCCTCTGCTTGATCAAATGATCGAAGCCCTGCCTCAGAAACAGAGAGCCACCCGCCAAGGTTCATCCTGCTATAAAACTGCTGCGCTGCAAGAACGTACAACCAGAATCAAGGAAATCATACCAAAACTGCAGGCAATCCTATGAGTCATTTTCAGTTTTATTGTCTAAATTTTCATCTAAAATCTCACACTGCTTCACTTCAGTCTTGGCTGTTTCTCTCATCTGGAAAACTGTTAGGGGGAGTGAAAGAGTAAAATCACACTTCCTTATTCACAGACCTCGTATTTATTTTTGGTGAAATGTAGTTTCCTTGTATTGCTGTGCCCTGTTTTGAGAACAACAAACACCACGTTAGAAGGAACTAGTATAATCTTAAGGTTCAAAGAGTGCTGTCTCATTTTTAATCAGTTTTTTTTTTTAAATACCTTAAATGAGTGATTATTGTAGAACCTGTCTTCCAACTTTGCACCCCACTCTGCTGGGTCTAGGCCACTTTCTGAAACAAAACATGCATTCGTTTGTACATTCATTATTTTCAAGCATGCATCGACAATATAGGTGATCTAATAATACTAGCTCTTGCAAACAAAATCAATTTTGCCTTGGCTTGGACAAAGGCATACTGCATAAGCATAAAGTGACTAACTCATATGTGAGTAATTCATATGTCATCAAAAAATATTAAACATCAGGATCAAAGGAAAGCATCTCATTTACCCTCTCTGGCTTTAAGAAGCTTTGTGAAGTAGAGAGCAGCAAAGGTAGGGATGTCCTCAGGCTGGTCTCTCAACACCTCTTTAGCAAGACCCTCCAATAAATTCCCAAAGCCTCTAGGGATGCGCAGGTTTGTGTTGGAGAAGGGAACAGACATCTTATACAGCTCTCAGGTCTGAGTTTAATTAGGGAAAAGACGTGTTCATTAAACGTTAATGGTGTTGTAGACTAATGTTTTCCACATAATTAGAAAAATAATTAAATGCAATGATTTTCTCATTAAGATGTTTAGCCTTACTGCATGATATACACATATAGTGACACTGACAACACATATGTCGTGCTAAAAATCATCTAAATGAAAGAAAAACTCTCTTTTTTTCCTCTGTAAAATTAAAGACATATTTGAACACTTGTGCTATCAAGCCCATATTTTCTTGCTTTGTTATCGGTAGTCAATATACATTTAATCATTTAGCCAGGTGTACTGATATGATGTTTCTTACCGTTCAAAACGAGACTAATGTTGTCAACCGTTGCTATGCAACCGACACGTGGTTCCAACTACAGATAGCGGAGAGGGTAAAAACGTTATGACTTGTCATGTTCAAAAGGCAAAACGTTAGTAGGATACACCAGTATTTACTTTATTTCAATTTTGTGTATTTACACATGCAATATAAAAGGTAGGTATTTTTGCTAGAACTTTTTTCCCACTGTATCTGGTCTCTCAGGGAGGGTAATTTAATTTCATTAGTATTGGCGCACACGATCTGTATCAAGTAAATATTTAAAGTGGTCTTATTTTATTTTGTTGCCAAATATATATATATATATATATATATACACACAAAAAAAAACGTTAAGGTCTAGTGACTTTGGGAGCAGCCTTTTTATAGCCTATAGAAATGCTAAGTAGGCTATTCTGTAGCGTTAATGTAGCTATGATATACACGTTTAATTTCATATTTGCATAACTACAAACAAACGACGCCATAACTGCATGTTATCGAAGACGTCATTAGCTAGACTCGTTTTACTCAGGTTTTACGAGCCATTGCTCAGTGTCATAAATCCCTGACGATCGAGATTACCGTAAACCGACCTGAGAAACATTTCCGCTCACAATACTTATTAAATCATCTCGTGTTTTCTGTCAGTTCTTTGCAATTCGGCGATGCCCGCGAATCGTGAGTCAATCGGTCAAACAATCCACGATCCAGTCCGGATCATTCTAAAAATTCTCACGCATTGAGACGTTGGGCGCTGTTTAAAACAGTAATATGATATAGGCTAATACTAAATAACAAATAACAAAAAGGAAGCTGGATTAAGTGGATATTTCCCAAAAATCAATTAAAACCACGCCTGCAAATGCAATCCTGTCGTTTGTCAATGATACAGTTCAACACCTTCGTGTGCAGCCGATACTGCAGGTAAAGACAGTTTTTCAAAACAGTAACAATATACAGAAGTATAGGTGAATATGGTAAATATGATAATGTTGTTGGCCATATAAATAAGCACCTTTCAGAGTCCAAAGCTCGCTAAATGTGTGACGTGTGAACAAATTGCAAGGAATTTCTAACCTTTAATCAGCACTACAGTAGGCCTCCCTGCAATAATTAAACAAACAAGGTATATAGGCTGGTTTGGGGCATGTTCCCCCTTAAATTGACAAAAATAAAAATAATTTAGAGGGGTCAGAACTGGTGTTTGAGGTGTTTTTTACTATTAGAAAAAAAAAAACACAATTGTGAAATTGGAATTCAGACATACTATACATTACTTGAAACCATTCTTTTAAGTCATATAGCCCTAGACCTTCCTGGTCAAAAACAGCAAAGCAGCTGACACAGTAAAAATATTTTTATGATGTGCAAAGCAAATGTAATGCAGTAATTATTTCCTTCAAGACTATAAAAGCAACAAACATACAAGTCCACACATGCATGACAATTTTTTACAGTTTTTAATTGCAGACAACAGAAATTAGGCAGACTTCACATTTTGCCTTCTATTTTTTAATCAGATATACAGTTTTTGAAGTAACTAACTTAAGAGCCTCACAGGAGTAGGTAATTACAGCATATTCAGACGTTATGCTTAATTTCCTAGTGACCTCTTTAGAGTGGATGTGCAGTCTGTCAGCTGAAGCATGCAGTAGCCCTGCTCTGGCCTCGTCCCTCCATCTCTGTAAAGCACAATTCACAGTCACACATCTGGTTCCATGATATCAAACAACCCTGTAAAAAATCCTTAAATAATTGTATATATTTATAATATTAAAATAATATTAATTCTCACCGGTCTTTGGTTTTTTGAAGTCTGGTTAAAGGTGTCAGATAGATCCGGATTGCTGGATCCTCTCACGGAGATCACAATGTCAGCATAAGGGACTTCATGGTCGCTCTGACTGTCTGGGATTCAATTTAAAAAATAAAATGTTTTGTGAATCAATTAAGTATTGAATGATACTACCATTTAGATGACCGTATTCAGATAAACTATTGCTCAAAAGTTTGGGGTTGGTTTTTTTCATGTTAATAAAAGAAGTATGTAATTCTCATGAAGGCTGCATTTATTTAGTCAAAATATAGTAAAACAGTAATATTGTGAAATATTGCAATTTAAAATCTTTTGTATTTTAATATATTTTAAAATATAATTTATTCCCGTTGTGGCAAAGCTGAGTTTGCAGCACCATAAACCTGTCTTTAGTGTCACATGATCCTTCAGAAATCATTCTAATATACTGATTTGCTGCTCAAGAATCATTTCTTATTATTATCAATGTTGAAAAGAGTTGTGCTATATTTGTACAAACCGTTATACATATTTTTTCAGGATTCTGTGATGCCTAGATCATGCAATTAAAAATAACAGCATTTATTTGGAATAGAAACCTTGTGTAACTTTGATGTTAATGTACTGTTACTTTTGATCATTTTAATAGATCCTTATTGAACAAAATTATTAATTTATTTTATATTTATTTATTTTTAATTTTACTGACCCCAGAATTTGAATGGGAGTGTATCTTGGTTTCCACAAAAATATTAAGCAGCAAAAAGAGTTTTTAACATTGATAATAATAGGACATTTTTCTTAAGCAGCAAATCATCAGATTAGAATGATTTCGAAGGATCATGTGACACTAAACACTGGAGTAATGAATTCATGAATTCATTCAGTTGCCATCACAGGAATAAATTACATTTTAAAACATATTAAAAGAGAAAAAGTTCATGTAATAGTTCATGTAATAATATTTACGTTTTAAAAGTAATAATATTTCACAATATTAAACGTTTTACTGTATTTTTAATCAAATAAATGCAGCCTTGGTGAGCATAAGAGACGTCTTCAAAAACATAAAAAATGTTAATTATTCCAAACTTTTGACAATTAGTGTATATACATATATTATTGCATTTTAGTAAAATAAAATATCAATTGAGAAAGACCTTGAGCGATTGGCCTTATCACCACAGCACTTCTGGATGTAACCCTACAAAAGACCAGATACTGCTAATGAAAGAGATTTGTTATGTTTTGCTGTTTCATCATGTTTCATTTTATACATAAAATTGTGCATTACCTTTCATGGACTCTGTTAGCAGAATCCATGATCTTACATCCTTTTCTGTAGCACAAATACACCAGATGGGCCATCAGGATAACTACTGCAGACACTGCAAAAGCTGCAAAGATCTTGGCCCAGGCGAATCCATCTGTATGGCAAAATGCTGACTTGATGGACTGTGTTGTATGTGATTCTGAAAATGGGTTGATGTATTTTTGGAAGTGTAAAAGTTCTCACCCGATGTGATGACCTCTATTTCCACAGTGATAGCCTGGTCAGTGCAGGTCCCTTTGGTGTAGCACCTGTATCGTCCACTATCCTCTGCTTTGATTTCACTCCACTGTACTATGGTGTCAGTTATTTTGTCCAAAGGGAGAGTACTGTTTTCTCTGACCCACTGCACCTCACAGTATTTGTTATCAAGGGCAACACAGTGAAGTTTGAGTGAGCTTCCTGCCATCACTTCGATGGTAGATAATGATGTAAGCACTTCATCTGACTCCGCCTGACCCCTATACAACTTTACTCTCAGAGATGGATCTAGACCAGTAAAATAACATTCAAAACATTAATGCAAACTAATAATGTCCTTAAAAATAGTACAATAAGTAGAACTATCCTTACAGAACCTTAACTTATAGACTTACCAGCTAGTACTTTAGGAGGTGTTACTTGTTCTTCAGATTCATCTGAATAAGGGATTGGAAAAATGGTAAGAAAAGTCCTGAGAATAATTAAAAGGAATAGTTCACACAAAAATGAACATTTGCTGAAAATTTACTCACTCTCAGGCCATCCAAGATCTAGATGAGTTTCTTTATCAGAACAGATTTGAAGAAATTTAGCATTACATCTAGTGTTAAATTTCTCCTCTGCAGTGAATGGGTGCCGTCAGAATGAGAGTTCAAACAGCTGATAAAAGAATCACAATAATCCACAAGTAATCCACATGATTCCAGTCCATCAATTAAAGTCTTGTAAAAAGCTGCATATTTTTAGGAAAACAATCCATCATTAAGGCATTTTAGTTTCACCCCATCACTTCTGGCCAAAATACTAGGCCATAATTCATAACGCTTCCTCCATTGAAAAAGACCATTCCCTGTTGTCACATCAAAATCCACCGACATATTTGACTACTTTTGCTTGTAAACGGTGCTTGACCATTACATATTTCTCTCCTGATTCAGACACAATGACTTTTTCACTGGAGAAAGCTGATGGATTTATCACAAACAAGCAGCTTTTCACTTCACAAGAAATTAATTGATGGACTGGAGGGGTGTGGATTACTTGTGGATTATTGTGATGTTTTAATCAGCTGTTTGAACTCTCATTCTGACGGCACCCATTCACTGCAGAGGATCCATTGGTGAACAAGTGATGTAATGCTTAATTTCTCCAAAACTGTTTTTGTCAAAGAAACAAACTCATCTACATCTTGTAAGACCTAAGGGTGACTAAATTTCATATTTAATCTTCAAATATTCCTTTTTTTACATTATAGGTTATTCATTGTTAGCAATAAACTCAAATACCTCTTACCGTGAACTTGCAGTGTTACCAGAAGCTCTGTTTTACGAGGAAGGCCCGGACGGTCACTCTCTTCAGCAAGGCAAGAATAGTTATAACGCGTTTGCTCCATAATTATATAAGGTATGTACAAGCTCACAGTGCACATGTCGCCTAAATTTGATCTCTTATGCTTCCATTGGCACTTGCTACATGCTGGAGTGTCTTCCCATGTCCAGTAACCACGAGCGAAGCCACTTGAACAGTTGTAGGTACAGTTTAAAGTAAATGGCTGTTGGAGTCTTGCATTCTGAATCTCACGCTGGATTCCAGCACTCACAGCATCTGTAAAGAGCAATGAATTAACAGCCACTGGAAACTGCACTTATATATTAATTTAACTACTATTATAAGTATTTATGGAAATATCTAATATTCTAGATTTAATTTATACCATAATTCATAATAAATAAAAATGATAATATAGAATCTCCAAGACATTACCTTGGAATCCTAGTTGTAAAAGTAGCATCACATGAATCAAAAACATGTTTTGGCATTCATTCAAGATGCGTTTTCTTATATCTGCATGAATGATAAATGGTATGTGGCATGAGTAAAAAACAAAGGGAAGCTCCTCCCCATGGGGTGGGCTTCAATTTATAAGTAGCTCCTGCCTCTGGGAAATGTGGTTAACTAAGCTCTTGGTACATTGTTATACATGGCAAAAATGTGACTGGGACTTTTGCAGCTTGATTTGCATGGCACTGTGGTATTTTTTGATCATTTAACTAAAAAATTTACATTTAGGCCTATACAATACATTTGAATGTCAAACAAATACTGTAGCACCGTTCTTTACAGATTGTTGTTTTTATCTAATTTACATTTTCCATGTATCTAAATTATTTAAATGGAAATTCCATGAGTGATATTAAAAGAAGTTCACAGTCTGACTCTTGATAACGTCCATGTTAATGAATCAAAATGACTTTCCTAGCAGTTTGATGAATTTATCAGCCCATTGCTGCAGTAAACTGGATCACATTCATGCTTTGCAGTGGAAACTTGGGTTTAGTACGGTTTTGCACAGTTGCAGAGGTTTGAAGTTTCACTCGAACGTAAAGGAACAGGAAACATCCTGCCTTCGCATTACCACAAAAAACAGTGTCACTCCATCATAATCTATTTTAACATGTACTGTCTTTGTTTTACACGTGTGTTCTTTTTTAAATGTATGTTATTTGGTTTTCTAGCGCTTTCTTTGTTTTCAAATGTAAACATTGCATAAATCATAATTCAATATTTGGGTTATTTAATTTAAAGATCTTTGTTTGTTTGTTTGTTTATTCTCAGAATATCAATACAAATGTAAGTGCATGTAGGTATAAAATATTTATTCCTCTAACATTAAGAAATCGAAAGGTAAATAAGATCCTGTACAGTCCATGGTTTAAAAAACAGACTGATATTCTAGAAGTTTACAGTTTTGCCCAGTAAGTGTATCACTGGCTTCTGACTGGAATTGAGTTACATGGCTTGAATTTCACTTTCAATTATTGAGCTGTCCCTATTCACTGATAGACTTAAAGGGGCTATAGAGCGACTGAGGACAGAAGTCTGCTGCGATGAAACGGGGAGCTTAAAAACGATCACCATGAACCGGTATTTTCTTTTATTTTGCTTCTGCATAACATGGACTGGTTTTAGACAGAGATGGAATGTCTTTGTATCAGGTAGGTACTATCGGCATGAGATGGAATTCATTGCATAGAGTGTGTTAAATAAATGAAATGTGGTTACTGATTGAATATTGGTCAGTGATACAGTGTGCTTACTGATCACTGTTGCAGTTAGTAATTTATTTTTTAATATTTTGATGCAGGAGGTGACATTAGGCCTGAGGGTTCAGAGTGTTTAATCTACTGTAATCAGACTCAAATGTTATGCCCAGAGGGAACCTACTTTTCATCAGGGATTTGTCTTGAGTGTCCTGCAGGGAAGTTGTAAGTGTGATTTTAGGGTTATAGAAGATTTTTTTGTAATTGTATTAATATATTAATATTTTCTTTTCCTTTCCTTACATTTCAGCTGTCCTGGCAATGTGTCTGCACCCAGAAAATGCCCCACTGGCATGTTTAACCCTTATACTGGAAAAAGCAGTATCCAGGACTGCCAGGTAACCTATTAAATAAATGAAGTATTATTTATTTATCTTATTTAATGTTCATTTACATTTCAGTTTTTACTAATACATTATTAATATACAAAAGTTGTATCTGTTAACATTATTTAATGTACCTGAGCTGCCGTGAACTAATAATGAACAGCTGTTTATTAACACATTTTAACAATACTGTAAGAAACGTTCATTGCTCATTGTTAGGTAATGTCAATTAATGCATTAATAGAACCTTTTTGTAAAGTGAACCTTATTGTATTTGTAATTGTCTTTTAAAGCCCTGTGTCCCAGGTTTGGTTAGCACAGAAGACCGTGTGGAATGCAAGCTTTGTCCCGCTGGTTTCTCTTGTGACAGCACATCAGGCAACCTTACAGCGTGTCTGTCAGGACAGTATTCTCCAGAGGGACTCACCCAGTGCCTGCCGTGCCCCTTTGGCTTTGTTTGCATACAGGGTTTTCAAATGAAGGTGGGCACAAACTAAAGTGCTGCTTAAGAGATTTTTCCCCTCCCTTTTGGTAATATTACACTCAACCTAAGCATAAACTTTGGTGTAAACCATTTTTATTTGTTCGTTTCACTATTTTAGTGTGGCCTCGGAGAAGAACCAAACTTCAACCAGACGGAGTGTGTTGAGTGTGCTGAAGGCTACTATTCCACTCTGTGCAGTGCTCAATGTCAGCTGTGTCCTGCAGGTAAACATGGACTCCCATGTTTAATTCACATGCATTTGATGTCTTGCTTGCACCTGCTAAAGCCAAAATAAACACAAGCATCAATGTCACAACATGCATACAAGTTTACAGACACAAAACTCCTTGTAAATCCCTATAATTTCCTCTTTAAGGAAGCCACTGTCCGTACAAAAAGATGTCCGCACCTCTTCCTTGTCCCGTGGGCCATTATTCAGACATACCGGGCCAGACTGAGTGTAAAAAATGCAATGGTTCATCAGCCTGCAGGAGTACAGTGACTCCGGTCTGGTCAAGGGGACAGTCTCATCTTGGTCAGAGGTCAAGACAGCTTATCTCCTGTCCCCCTGGGACATACCGAGACGGAGAGCGATCAGACTGTGTTGTATGTCCTGCAGGTAAGTCAGTATTTCAGATTGGGCTGCTTGCTTTTCACATTCAATACCTCATTTTGAGTGTTAACATTTGTTTTTGCAGGGCATTACTGTGTTGCAAATATCGCGATACAATGCCCGGAAGGAACTTATGGACCAAAGGAGGGGCTACAGAGAGAAAGGGACTGTGCTATTTGTCCTGCAGGTACCTGCGATGTCCTACAGGTTTACTTATGTATTGATTTTACTTGTGGGTTTATTTACTAATGTCATAATTAAGCAATATAACAAGAGTAAGAGGGCTGTTTGTTTGACTGGCCGCAAAGGCTGTAAATATTAGAAACAAAAGTGCTCATTTGAAATGACTTTTAAACAACAGTTCAGTAAACAAAAAGTTAATATTGGGTAACTTGCATTTTAACAGTATTGGCGGTTAAAATGCAGTCACATTTGCCAATGGTCAATGACATTTTGAGTGTTAAATCCAGTCATTGTAATAGCAATCCATGAAATTGGAAATTTAACATAAAGGGGGAACAATTCCAACAGAAAGCTGATTGGTTTGTGTGAGCGGTACTTTGTGCTATTGACAGTAGAGAACAGATTGTTTGCCGGTGAAATTTTGTGATCATGTGATCACGTTTACCGTTGCTTTGCAAAATTTCATGGGCAAAATCCAGTGATTCCAATCTGTGTGATCAGGAATTTTGCAGGAATTTCCTCAAGCAGATTTTGCAATGGGTTCAACTTTTTCATGCAAATTAGCTGCGTTGACTAAAAGAAGGCTGCTTTTACTAATGTGAATGCAACTTTAGTCTGTTTTTGCTCCGGTGGCAAAATAGTTCCAAAGAAATTCAAAGCACGATGAACAAATACACGTCTCCAGGCATCATGCAGTAGTGCTATTTCGTTTCTGAATAAAGTGTTCTTGGGTGTTTTAACGAATCAGTTGTTTGATTCAATGACCACTCATAAAGAAACAGTCACTTGTCGCCATCTACTGGTGTAACCATGTAACCTGCAGAAAGAGTCACTTTAAAATCCCCACCACTAACGCACAGACTGACATTCTGTCTGGAAACGCACAAACAGACAAACATCTATCAAATTCGAGGGTCAGAATTGAATGTTGTATAATCGTAATGCACACGATAATAGCTGGAATTGGTTTATTCTTCCTAGGTTTTTACTGTTTGGAGGGCACGTCTCGGAGGCCCAGCTCTCAGTTTCTGTGCCCACAAGGGTATTACTGTGAGGAAGGCACGGGTGTGCCGCACGGGTCACCTTGCCCTGCTGGAACTGCAGGAGGACAACTGGGTCAGACAAGTAGGGCAGCTTGCAAGAGGTGTGCAGAGGGTCGCTTCTGTCCCGCAGGTTAGGGCATGAACCCAAGACACATACTGTATGCATGATCACATTCATACACACACATATGCATAATACACATTATCTTTTGCTTTTTGTTGTCATGATATTATCTGTGAAAGATGACTGGGCTTCTATAGACATACTCTTTTGTAGAAACCTAAATAGTTAAATGTTATGATTTTATGTTTTACCGAAGATTGCAGTAAGCTGCAACTTTAATTTTCCTAAACCCACATGAGCCACTGCTGTTGAACGGTTTCCTGCCCTCAGCTGTTTCCTGAGTGTGATGTACTGTAAGAGTGTGTGATGTGGGTCTGGAGTGCAGAGACGATGGAAAAGTTTTTTGCGACGTTTTACATCATAGTACATTTGTGTTTAAGTAAAGCACATCTCCATTTCTGTTTATTTAATTTATTGTTGTAGACCTAAACAGACGGACTTAAAATGTAGATAATTGTTTGTACTTTTAAGAGTAAAAGTGCTGCTTGTGTTTATTTTTTGTTTTTCTTCTTTTTCTTCTTTTACATATATGTATATATAACACACACACACACATATACTGTATATATACTGTATGTACACACATTACATTCACATTTTAACCCAATAGTATTCTATTAATAATTTATAAAATGTACTTATGTAAAATACTAATCTTACATATGTATATACTATTACTAAGTAATTTTTCTAATTATTATTATTTTTTTTATTTTTTTTTTACAAAAATGTATTGAGTCAACTTTCAGAAGTCCACTCTCCTCAGGCTAATAGACATGGACTAAAACTTGAAACCCTTCTTGATTTGTAGGTTCTGCAGGTCCTGGCTTGCTTTGTGCCCATGGGAGGTACTGTCCAGCAGGCACACTCAGTGAGATCTTATGCCCTCAAGGGACCTTCACCCCACATCAGGGGGCGCTGAGTAAGATTTCTTTC